CCTATATCAAAATATGAGTTTTCATAAAGTGGGCTTAGCAACTTTATATGTAAGTATATTTAATATCATATATCTGCAGTTTTTACAAAAATTTATTTTATAATATCTATTTCTGACTTAACTGTAATTACATTACACGCAATATTATATATATTGCGCTTCTACATAATTTCTGAGATATTATTATATCTAACTGCATTTAAATGATGCATATTTCGATTTGTTCACGTTATCTGATGTTCTCGTGAACGTCAAGCTGTGAGGTTATACTTTATCGTGCTCTGAATTTGGCTTCTTATTTGCTTAGTTTATTGTGCTAATTCTGAGTTAAAGTAGTGATAAAAAGTGCTTATGAGCATCTTAGTGTGAAACAATTGAAGCTAAGTGAAAGTTATTGTGTTTTATATTAAACTAAATTTAATTAAATTTCACTAGCATACATTCTAATATTGCCGAGTCATTTGTTCCTATCATTGTTGTTGTATCCTTTGTAGTTTACTGAATTCATTTTGTTTTTGCAGATTTGTTCTACTCTTTTTGTTTACTCCTTCTAGTAATTCTTGTCACAGCTGTTTGCGTTGTGTTTATTAAGTGTCATAATTACAGTGATACTCAAACTGTGCGCTACATTTATTTAAAGCTATTTACATCAGCTCCTTAATTTTTATAATTTATTTTGTTTGTCTTTTTATTATTATTTTTTTTGTTTGTCTATTATTACATAAATCTCTCAATATGAAGTGCGATTTTGATACTTGCCAAATTAAAAGCGATTCTGAACGCTACTTATCGTGCTGGCTGTGTGATGGTATTTACCATCTAAAATGTGCTGGTTTGACGGGAAGAATTTTGGACGCTATTAATGATGGCAAGGGCCTTCGCTGGTCTTGCGTAAAGTGTAGGTCAACCGAAGTTGATCTTTTCAAGCTATTTAGGCAAACCAGAAATGGTTTTACAGAAATAGGAAAGGAATTGTCGGTACTGACAGAAAAATGTAAGCATTATGAAAATGTGTTTAAATCATTCAAATGCTTAGATACCTTGCAATCTGTTAAGGATATCCGTGTGTCTTAACGTAAGCGTCTTAGTCCATATAAGGAAATTATTGCCGTTGCACGTCAGAATAATCTTCCGACTGAACTAATTAATCTAACTTCTCCATGTCCTCCAGCATCAGAATCCTCAGCCTCAAAAGAGCGTGTAACGAAATCTGCTTCGGATAATAACGAGCCTGAAGTATCTTCCCCTTCCCCCATTGAAGTGGTGGCATCATCTTCAAAGCCTCCACCGCCTTCCCTATCCTCAACTACTAACGCAGTAACTCAACCCCTTCCGCCAGTACTCCAGTCTGATACAAGGAAACTAGTTGTGGTTCCGCCAAAGAAGTCAATCTTTGTCTCTAGATTTTCGAGAGACACTACCGAAGACGATATAAAGCTTTATATCTCATCAAAAATTACAACTGTCGACTTAAGCATCAGAAAATTTAATTTTAAATACGAAAGAAATATTGCCTCATTTAAATTGACGAAAATTTAGATAATTTTAGTGCGCTGCTTAGTAGCTCTTTTTGGCCCCCCGGAGCTTTCGTTCGTGAATTCGAATATAGGCCCAAAAAAGGAAATAACTTAGCTAATATTCCCCGTCAAAAAACTAGTTATTAAATCTGCTTTAAGTATTTATTACCAAAACGTAAGAGGCTTAAATACTAAATTAACGAACTTATACCTTAAAGGCTTGAATGTAATTATAATATTCTTTCTTTCACTGAAACTTGGCTCAAACCTCACATTTTCAATTCAGAGATTCTTCCAAATAATTATCATATCTATAGACAAGATAGGGTGGACAGAATCGGCGGTGGCGTACTCTTCGCTGTAGTCTCTTCAATACCATCTGAAGAAGTTAGTCTTCCACACATTGATTCAGTAGAATTCAAATGCATTCGTGTACAGGCTCGAAAAGGGTATATTTACTTAGCTCTATGCTATATTCCTCCCCGATCTGACACATTGGTGTATTCACGACTCATCTTTTTACTGAAATCAGTTAATTTCCTGACTAAACCCTCTGATTCAATGATTGTGTTGGGTGATTTTAATTTACCAAGCATATCATGGAACATCATTGACAATGATATCGTACCTTTCACGTCTAGTGCGTGCAACAACGTATTTTTAGAGGAGATGGCTGAACTCTGCCTAACTCAGGTTAATGTACTTCACAATAAGTCTGGTAAAGTATTAGATCTTGTTTATGTTGATGATGCATCTAAATCCGTTGTAAATAAGCGTGATCCACTAGTTTGGCCCGAAGATGTCTACCACCCCGCTATGGAGGTATCTTACGAAGTTATAAGTGATGGTCAAAATTGCAGTACCCAAGCATACGAACCAAATATTCGCTTTGATTTTTCGAAAGCCAACTTTAAAAAGTTTAACAAAGAACTGTCTAAATTATCGTGGCCTGCATATAAAGAAAATATTGAACAAAGCGTTGCATTTTTTAACTTTACTTTACATAAATTATTTGAAAAGCATGTGCCTAAACGCATGTATGTTCCTGAAGAAGAAATACAGTTATGGTTCACTAAAGAACTGAGAAATTTGAAAAACAGAAAGTCGCGTTATTTTAGATTACACAAAAAACCCGGTTTACACTCATACTATGTAAAATACTAACTTTTGCGTCATAAGTTTTTTGAATTAAACAAAAAGTGTTATAAATCTTACTTGTGTAAAATCAAACGGCGTATAATATATAATCCCAAATCATTTTATGACTTCGTAAACTCCAAGCGAAATGTACGTGGGTTTCCTTCCGCTATGAAGTATCAAAATACCGTCTCTAGTGATAATCAAACAATTTCTAACATGTTCGCTCAGTTTTTTAAATCCAATTATTCCATTAACTCACATGTTAACATTGACTATCCTTTTAAACTATGTCCAATGAACTCAATAAATATCCCAGTAATATCTCCCGATGATGTAGTAGTTTATCTGAAATCCTCCTTAAAGCAGTCCTTCAGTTATGGTCCTGACCAGATCCCTACTTGTATTCTTATAAATTGTGCTGATTATCTCTATGAGCCGTTAACAGCGTTATTTAATTTCTCTTAAAGAGGGCGTTTTTCCAACTATATGGAAGGAATCGTTGATAACCCCGTTACATAAAAGCGGTAGCAGATCTTCAGTGGAGAACTACCGGGGAATAGCTAAGCTTTCTGCAATTCCTAAATTATTTGAAGCAATTATAACAAATCAGTTGACGCATTCTATCTCTTCTAGCATTTCATATAGTCAACATGGATTTTGCAAGGGCAAATCAACTTCTACAAATTTACTTGAATTAACATCCTATATCTCAAAAGCATTTAGTGAAAGCAAAACTGTTGATGTTATATACATATACTGACTTCAGTAAAGCATTTGACAAAGTGTGCCACTCGTTGCTCATCTATAAACTTGATCTTCTTGGTCTTCACCCTAATTTTCTACGTTGGATCTCTTCATACCTCTATGATAGATCACAAAGGGTAATGTTTAAAAAACTATCTCTGACGTCATTGAGGTTACTTTAGGAGTTCCTCAAGGGTAGCCACCTAG